TGTCATGAGTGTCTCATTTGTGGGATCACTGTGCAAACTATAATGTATGGCTGACAGCTGATGTCGAATTGTTTTGATAGACTCCCCCGCATACCCAAAAACATCTTTGTTCCAGTCCTAGGTCACCTCATCCCTGAGCCTTTTAAGTTTGGAAACAAAGCGATACATGGCTGTCCCCCCAACTCTATCTTGCCAGGAATTCGTAACGACGTCCAAAACATCCGGGTGCTTCTCCTACATAGAAAAGTATTTAAAAGGTTTTGGACCAACTGATCCCAAGTCAGAAGTCGACACTGCTAAGGGAAAATGTTTTGAGGTACCTTTAGAGACTAACTTCACTTTGGACTCTGGTTATCAAGAATCCAGTCAGTAGTTGCCAATGCACGGTCCAGCCTCCATCTAATACATCTCTTGCTCAATTGGCTATTAGACCAAGAGAACTATCCCCTAACCACACCGAGGTCAGCTAGGTTACCAATCCGACAGTACTTGAGCAAAGTCCCGAAAATCTGGGGATAGAGAACCACTACCCCCCACTCTTTCCGAGGTATCCAATAGAGTGTTGAAATCCCCTTCCACTAACCATGGGAGATTATATGGTCCCACTACAAGTACGAGTAACCTCAACAATTATCATCTGCTCATTTACATCAATCACTAGGATTGAGTAAATTAATGGATTCCATGAAAGTAGAATTCTAGATCTACCATCAATATCATTGGCAATAAAGTTCTTATAGAAACCATGTTTTTTAGCCCAAATACTGTTCAAATTGATAGGTAACTTAGTTTCCAATAGAAAAAGAAGACCAAGATTATACTCACCCTTCAACACCCCAATATCTGAAACTCTTCCCCGGCCTGAAAGCCCCTGACGTTCCAGGCTATAATAGACATAAAACTTTAAAGATTATGGTGCTTAGTAAGGGAAGCCTTACCTTAAGTAGTCACTGGGCCATGCTGTGACTTGTGAGAATTCCCCTTCCTGTCGCCAGTAGCTGATAAAGAGGCTTTGAGTTGTGACCGTGTGCGAGTTTTAGGGACTTCCTCACCGAGAGCATGATTAGAAGTACTCTCATGTCACATCAACTGCAAATTTCCATGAGGAGGCAAAGATCTAGCGGTGTCTTTGATTGGGCTTTTACCACAAACACCATCCTTTAGTGTCTTCATTGTAAATCCCTTACTAGTGTCTTCATTGTAAATCCCTTACTAGTGTCACCATCAATATCACTGTGGATCGTTTCTAAATTACCAGAACTGGTCTTGTTCACACCCATATCAACTCGCACCTTAGTGTCAACAGCTCGAGGCAAGAGGGAAGAATTGAGAGAACCACTTTCCTCCAGAATGTTTGATACTTCGATGCCATTACCAACACCATCGATAGTCAAGGCCTCAATGCCATCACCATCACCATCACCATTTAGCTCACTGACTTCAACTTGCGCAGGTTCATCATCCACCTGTCCAGTAGGTGCTTTAGGTAGTTCTTTGGGTGAGTTTGAGAGGGCAGCAGCTGCCTCAACAGACCCACCACTAATCACAATAATCGCACCCTCAGTCACAGTCAAAATAGCTTGGACATTAACATCCTTAGGTGTATTTGAGAGGGCCACAGTCGCGCCATCAGTCACCCCATCAGTCGCGCCTTCAGTCGTGCCATCAGTCATGCCACAAGTTTCCCCAAGGCTTACTGCTGCAGCAATGGACCTGCCCCCATCCTCATTGAAGCCCGCATATTCTTCGGCAATACTTTGGCTGCTATTGTCTAGGATAATATCATCGTCCACAATCCTAGAGTCACCCTCTTCCACCGCCAAGACCTGAAACCCATTAGAGGTCGGGGCAACCTCTTTCTTCTTATAAGCCATCTGTTTCCTTTCTTGCATAACTGTCCATCCCTCCTCACCCGAAGGCAAGACAATGGCAGATCCACTTCTCTTCTTAGTCACATTGTTTACCTTTACTACACCTTGAGACTTCAAAGCAACCTTTGGAGCAGCCGAATAATGACATAAATCAGCCATATGTCTAGCTTGATTGCTTGCAATTGGTTGGGATAAATTCATAAACAATCTGTTGGCAATACACCTCCCCCATGATGTCAAACCAAACCTCTTTTAGACATGGGTTGTTTAAATCCATTGCAACACAAACCCATGGTTCAGCTCGAGATCGCAAACTCATAGGTTTGTCCATTAAAATGGGCTTCCCAACGCTTGAAGCAATTCTAAATAATATCCCGGACTCCCAAAACGTGAGAGGAAGGTTTGGAAGTTTGATCCAAACCAGAACCGTTTGTCGAGTGCCTTTGGAGGGTTTAACCTAAGGGCCCCATTCTTGAAGAACCAGGCACTTTTTGTTAACAAACCACGGGCCACCCGTGCGTGCAATTTCCATCTCTTCCTGTGATCTGAACCAAAAAATGAGAAATCCATCATCAAGTGAAAATATCTCAAGATCATTTTTGAGCTTCCACAGTTTCTGAAGCACGCGCTTCATATACAACCATTCGGGCCTATGGCCCAAAAAATGTCCTAGGAGACAATTCTCCCACTTTTTCAAGCAAGAATCTACCAACTCCTTCTCAATTCTCACAAAGCATTTTCCATTGACATTTTCAGTAGGAGTAACCTCCATGCTTTCAAAATAACATACACGTGATTTTATAACTTTATCACCAAAGAGGAGATCTGTAGACTTCCCCTAATTCCAGCAGTTAGAAAGGGCTGTGTCCTTCTTCTTATCATGCATCGAACCAGGGACCAAGGTGGGAAAATTCTCCCTTGCAATGACCCTACGAAGATCAGCTGCATTAGAACTAGATCCAAGGCCACCATTGTCAAAGGTCAGACATGCAAAGGTCTCTCGGTTACTTTGAGCAGCACCAGAGGGCTTGAGATCCTTAGTTTCCTTAGAAGTAGGGTCACGAGGCACAAGACAATGGACCTCATGAGCACTCGTAGAGCTGAGTACATGTTCAACCATACCATCAGAATTGTGCACAGCAGAAACACACAACACAGAGCCATGAGGACGCTGCCCATGCCCAACTCCAATAAGCGAAACAAGGTCACCGCTAGTGACAGCACCAGAAACACAACCCATAGAGGAGTTGTGACCCATATCCCCATCAAAGCTTGAAGGGATATCATTCAAATCACCACTTTGTGGGCAGCCATTAACAGCATAATGCACACCAATGCGAAAACCAGATTGCACAGATATCGCATGCTGCAATACATTGAAAGATAATAGATGAGGATTAAGAAGCATACCAGAATTGGAGTCATTTATATTGCTCGTCGAAGATTTATAACTCTTTCCAACTCTAGGAACCACCCGATAACCAACACCAACCTTCGCAGCTACATGTTGAGATCCACCAGAAGTTCCCTTCAAAATTGCATCAGGGCCCGAGTCTATCTTCTTCTTTCCACAATCAACCTGACCCATGGCACCAAGTTCACTAGCAGGCTTGTCATTCTACTTTTCAAGCTTAACTTTGGGTAGTTTTTCTATGTTAGGGTAGTGACTGGCCATGTTGGAGTCTGGCTCACTAAAGATTAAGTGTTGTTGGGGAGAAAGAGGCTGTCACTGAGGATAGGCTTCAGACAGTAATGACGTTGTCTTTTGTTTCCCATCCTAGTTTGGGAGGGTTTTGTAGATTGAATCAGATGCAATACCATGAAGAAGGATTCATGTGGAGATTGGTTTTGAGAAAATTAGATAGCTGTACCAAGATTTAAAGGACCTTCATAACGGTACAGAATGGGGGTGGTCCGTTTCTTTTTTATGTCTGTAGAGGGCGTTATGAAGGAAAAGAATGTTCTTCTACCAAAAGACGAAAAAAGACGAAAAAAAGGCGAAAAGGAAAAAAAAAAAAGACAATGTAACAGGCGACATTAAAAAAATGTGTACTTCTTTTTTTTTTTTGATGAAGTTAACGGTTGTATTAAAGAAAAGAAAGGGAGAACAGAGGGCCTTCGAGGTGACCTATATAAATGTATACTTCTAATTTTGTGAAAGAAGTGATATATTTTTAAAATAACAACCTTAATTCCCATTCTTATATAAACAAACTGTTATTTTTATTTTGTGTCATTAATTTGCTATAAAAATTTGAGACGCATTCTGGTAGGCGTTGAGTTGTCACACAATGGTTGTTTTAAAGTACATAATGGCTGTTATTTACTGCACGCACTCTGTTATTGAACTCCACACATTTCCTTTATGTAATGTCATGGGTGGGTCATTTCCATTATAAACTGCAGTTATTTCTGTTTCAAAGGCCATTTTTTATACCCTGAGCTGTACTTGTTGTAAATTGTGTTTTATATTTGCTAATGCGAGCCTGGTTTCACCGTTTACTTTTGCAGTCATTTACAATCGGTGCCTTCGTAGTTTGGAAGCTTACTTTCCTAATATATTAAGGGACTTGTTGTTGGGATTGCTCTTCTTGGCTAAATCCGAAATCCTGAAAGACAATATTGTGTTTTCTTGGTCTTGGATCCCAAGTCTAGATTATAAGAAACCATGCTTTTTGAGAGATTATTATGTTGTTCTGGGTTAGATTTTGGCTTGCCTAGGCTTTACATGGCCTAAAATAATAAACCTTGTCATAATAAGGTGGGGAATCCTTTCGTTTGTTCATTAAGCAATTTGGATGAAAAACAGACCTTTGTGAGAACCTCTTTAATTGAAACCCAAAATGAGCAATGGTGTAAACATTTTCTGACCTGAAGATTTTAATTCACTTGGAACCCTGAAACACAAATATGAATTTTTCTTTAAGGCAAAGGTACATTCAAAGAATTTTGTGTGAATAAACTTTCATGGTATGAACTTTTGCAGCTGAATTTACATGGAAACCTATTTTTACTTCTTCTGCAACTGACAGATTGTTGTGCCATATTTCAGTTAATCTTTTGTATATTTGTCTTAGATGCTCTTGTGCAGAAAAATAATTGTTTCCAGTTCTACCTCACCATTTTCAGGTTTATCTTGCAGCTTTCTTGGCCTGCTATTGATTTTTCGACCGATTTTTTTTCTACAAGGTGAATATAAATTTCCTCTTTTGTAATACCTATTTGTTTGTTTCCAGAAGGATTATGAAGGAAAAACTCAGTATAATTCTTCCTTTTCTGGAATGTTAATGGGATTTCATTGATTTTAGAATGTGAGTGGGTGGTGGGGTGTGTGTGTATCCTGTACAACAATGAGTAATCGAATTTATACATAAAGTGCTCCTGGAGTGTAAGAAATTGAAATGAGACTTCCAACAAGTATGTATAACAAGTTAGGCCTCAAAAGTGGTTATTGCGAAGAGATTTTGGAATTCCTTCCTGCACGAGGTAGTCAGTCAGCTTGTTAGACTACCTTCTAATGATGCAAAATGCAGTCCTCCTCATGGTGCTATGGTGATAAGAAAATCTCATCAAACACCTTTTGGTCCTCCCATGGACAAGGTTCTCAATGACTTTCCCAGGTTATTATTATACTAGAATCCCCTTAATAATTAGCCTCTGCTTTATTTGAGCTACACTCTTATAGTGAACGTTAGTAATATTTTTCCTTGATGATCTCTCACTGTCCCTCCAACTCTTGCACTCCCCTGGTTGCTCTATCTGGGTTGCCTCTTGATCTTCCATTAAAGTTCAGTTTCACAATGCCTTCAAGAGGTGGCACCCGGTTGGCAGATATTTGATCTTTCGGTAGCTGGCCAGTGGCTATCTCCTGTCCATTAATCTCAAAGTCATTCGTAGATCATTCTAAAAGCCCAGAAGCTACAGAAAATTTAGTATGTTCTTTCCTTTGTTCCTCCCATGCATTTTTTTGGAGTTTCTTTTATTTAACACTAATAGTAAGACTCCATAGGCTTAAGCACAGCTTAGGCGGGGGGAATGCACCACTGCATCAGAGTAACCAAATTTGATATAACCCAGAATCCTGAATAAATATAGAACAAAAGCCCATATATCACACATTGTGCTACAATGTAAAAAGTAAAAACAGGTGGTTGATTGACTGCCGCCTGCTTACATAATAAACATACATTTGGGATCATGATGCAACACCTAATAAGATGATCTGTACTGTTTACCCCACGAGTTATTTGTCAAGAATGACCAGCCAAGGGAATAGCTACGTCTTTCTAGGGGCTGGAAGAATTCGGCATAGTAAATATTGACATGCTGTATATAGGTAGTTTGACTAAGGTAGATTCAATGATGGCCAAGCTACCATAAACAAGTACTTTGTGTTACATATGCCAATATTTCAGTTCCAATGCCAATATTGCCTTAAACCTCACTACCAACCCCCCCTCGGTAGGGCCGCTGTCCTCTCAAAGCCGATAACGCACACATACCTTTATGGGTCATTTGGTGCTTTGTATTTGCAAAACCTGGTTATGCATCAAATCTTGAGTAAACAAATTCCAGTATTTGTAAAACATGGTTTTAGGAACAATATCGTTTGAGTAGCTACTTTGAAATCCGATCGTGTTTTTCATAGCAGTCCAAGGGGTTGGTTCACTTTTGGACATACTTCGTTTGCTTTGCTCTTTCGTTTCGGTATGGTACTAAAACCTTCTTCAAAGACGTTTTTGCTAGTTTCGACCCAGGTTTGGATGTACAAGTAGAATTTGGAGCATTCCAAAAACTAGCACTTCCAACTATAAGGAGACAAATAGTCTGATACAACAATGCTTTGGTCTGTCTTGCCTCTATTTGGTTGGAATGGTATAAGCTTGCCTGACTGTGAGACCGACTGGGCAAACAGAGATGAAAGTCGGCCATAGTGATCCAGGAGTCCAGTGTGGAAGGGCTTTCGCTCAACGGATCAAAGGTACGTCAGGGATAACAAGCTGATGACTCCCAAGAGCTCTTATCAACGGAGTCGTTTGGCACCTCGATGTCGACTCATCACATCCTGGGGTTGAAGAAGGTCCCAAGGGTTCGGTTGTTTGCCGATTAAGGTGGTACGTGAGTTGGGTTTAGAACATCGTGAGACAGTTTGGATGCTATAGGAACACGGGGGCCCTTTCCGACCCCGAGAAGGGGCTAGCGCCGCAGTGATCCCTTGGCGGACTAGATTGAAAGGCTACATAAGAGTAGTGCTGAACCTTTGATCGACTCGAGAAGAGCGAGTCCAGGTTTACTATTGATGGGATATCAGCGCGCGTCCCCTCCTACTCCTAGGTTGCAGGCACTGAGTTAATTGTAAAACCAGGTTTTGGCAGTATAATATTATTACATTAAAATCATTATCATCGTCATGAGAGCCTCTTCCCAACTATTTGGTGCTGGCTAAACGAATCTTGATCTACCATTCCGCTCTATCAAGGACGATACCCTCAATGATGCCATAAGTCTCCTTATATTTTCTCAATATTTCCAACTATACCCTTTTGGATCTACCCCTTGCCCCTTTTTTAGCCTTCTAGTTGAACCAACTCGCACATCCTAATAGGTGTTTTGCTAGGTCTGAGCTACACATGGCCAGCCCACCTAAGTTTATTTTCTCTCATCTTATCGCCTATTTGAGCCGCACCTAACTTCTGCCTAATGTATTCATTTCAAATTTTATCCCTTCTTGTTTTGCCACTCATCCATCTCAGCATCCTCATCTCAACTGCACTCATCCTAATGGTATGTTGTTTCTTGACTGCCCAATATTCCGCCCCATCAAGCAAATGCTTGTCTCACAGTTGTCCTATAGAATTCCCCTTTAACTTCATTGGTATACACTAATCACATATAATTCCAGTTGCACATCTCCACTTCACCCACTCAGCTCTAATTCTATGTGCGGCATCTTCCTTAGTCTCTCCATTTTCTTGGATTATCGACTTAAGATATCGAAAGTGCGCTCTTTTTTGGTAGTTCTTGGCCGTCAATATTAACTAATATTATTATATTAAAATATAAGAAAAAGTTTATGCAAGGGCGAGGCCCCAAACAATCAAATTAAGACGTACCTCAAAAATTCACTATAAGGGGTTGTTTCAATGCATAAATATCCTCCAAATGATCATCTCAACCTCAAGATGTATGGAAATGAAATAAACTGGATTTCAAGTCTTGGAAATAGTTCATTTTGTAATACATTTTTAGACCATCAATTTTCAATATTTTTTAGTGTTCATAGATCTGCTCCATCTACATTATTTTTTAAGCTATAAATTTTATAATTAGAGATGAAAATAAATTCTCACGCCATCACAAAGGTTTTTAATATTGAAACAACATCTTTCGACATTGTTTGAAGGCGTGCCTTACTTTGATGGTTAAGACTTCGGCCTTATACAAACCACACCCTGAAATATAAACTGATATGTAGTAGTAGGAATCGGAAGCGCTTCCAGTAGTAGGAATCGGAAGCGTAGAATCGCTGCCGGCTAGAAGATTCCTGTTTCTGCCGGCTGCAAGATTCTTGGTTTTGGAATTGACGTGGTAGAATTCTGATAAATGTGGAAACCAGTAATAGTAGTAGTAGGAATCAGAAGCGCAGAATCGCTGCCGGCTGGAAGATTCTTGTTTTTGGAATTGACGTGAGTAGTAGTAGTAGTAGGAATCGGAAGCGCAGAATCGCTGCCGGCTGGAAGATTCTTGTTTCTGCCGACTGGAAGATTCCTGTTTTTGGAATTGACGTGGTAGAATTCCAATAAATGTGGAAACCAGTAGTAGTAGTAGTAGGAATCGGAAGCGCAGAATCGCTGCCTGCTGGAAGATTCCTGTTTTTGGAATTGACGTGGTAGAATTTCGATAAATGTGGAAACCAGTTTTAACAAGTGTAGAATCGAGATTCAACAATTGCGGTATCGAGAATAAGTAAATGTTGGAAACAAGATTCTATAAGTATTGGAATTGAGATTCCTATAACAACTCGAGATTCTAGACTTGACAGAAATGGGTTTCATGAATATTTCTAATAAGAATCTTGAAATCGGGGAAGCACAACCTTCGGTGTGGGATTTGAGTACCTATGGTATAAGGCAGCTCCTTAGAACCTATGAGGCCAGAAAGACCAAATTGTTCCTACAATGCGAAGCGGCCAAATACCTCTTGACATTGTTATGTGAGGTAAATGTTAGCCACATTCCTAGAAGGTTCAATGCCAAGCTAGTGCACGGCAAGAGTGGGGCCAGCTATGTTACCCCCCCTGAATCAATCAGTGCATGTCTTTGTTCAAGAAAGACGCGTCCATCCCTTATCATGGGGCTACAAAGTGTGAAAGAGGTATGATCAAGAGCAGATGCCGAGAATGACAACTTGCCTGCAATTGGCACCAACCATTGATGTAATACATATGACATGGAATGTGGCCTCATGACCAAACAGGAAGAGCTGCTTTGAGAAGGACAGCAACAAGTTTTACGTTTCTCAATGATGCTTTCTGCAGGAGGTCCTTAATGGCTTCCCCCTTCGCTGCCTCTCTAAAGAGGAGGATCAGCAAGCTCTTGGAAAGGTTCAGTGGAGTACAAACAATGCACCAATTAGGTTCGAAGTTGCATCTGAAGCTTGGTCACCTGGCTGCTGCTAGCCTCCCCTGGCCTCTGATGCCATGATACATGCAAAGCAATGTTGAGTCTTCCAGATCCATACTGACTTTGTCTACCAAGCAAACAAGCCTCCCCACCCCATAGTCTCATCAAGGCCGCCTGCAGAATTGTGAGTGAACATCATGAGCCCCATGCCCCCTATATCTATCAAAGGCCGCATCCAGATACTGGCTGCCACTGATTACTTTTAGTGGGCAGAAGCAGCAGAGCTATGTCTCATAAAATAGTTGCAGATTTTGTCAATACCTATCATCTATGGGTATGGTGACCCCAACAGAATCCTTGGGATAATGGTAACTCTTGTAAGCAATGTTTCAAGAACATGGAAACAGGCACCGAGGTGCAGCCCGATGACTGACCTGGGTGGGTTCTGTAGAAAAGAGGCGACAAAATCCTTTGGGATAATGGTAACTCCTGTAAGCAAAGTTCCAAGAAAACGGAAACAGGCGCCCAGGTGTCCACCCAATGACCTGAGCGGGCACGGTAGAAAAGAGGCGTTGAGTTTTTTTTTTTTGTTGTTGTTTGTTGTTGGGGGGGTGGAGTGGGTAGAGGTTTTATAAATTTATGATTTTGTTTTATATGTGTATATATATATATATATATATATATATATATATATATAAGTAAGTAATGTAGTAGTACTACGTCGTAGTCTACGTACTAACGAACTATAGTACGACGTACGAACGTATAATTAGTAGTACGTCGGTCGG